TCTCTCTCTCTCTCTCTCTCTCTCTCTCTCTCTCTCTCTCTCTCTCTATATCTATCTATCTATCTATCTATCTATCTAGACGTCAGCACCACACACTGGGCATCGTGTGGAGGCTGAAGGTGCACCAGGAGGCGGTGCGGCGCTTACCACCACCTCCCCTCAACAGATTCCCCAGCAGCCCAATTTCGCTGACTTCAGTCAGTTTAAGGCCTTCGCTGCATCTGAGCAGCCTTCCAGCCTGCCGGAGGTCGATGTACACAGTGAGCCGGGACAGGTATGTCGTTACCTGGAGTTTGTGTCTCTATCACGAGGTAGCTGTTAATTTAAAACACTTCATAGTTAACTCTTGTTACCTGACCATGCTGTGAGGAACACCGTTCCTCTCTGAAGGCGTCTGCCATCCTTTTTATTGACAATGCCATTCAGTGTTCAAAGCTTTCACAGCAATGAGTCACGATGCAAACAATCGGCTGTTAACTGAAATAACTTAATTTTAACTTTATATTTACCAAAACAATATCGATACAATTGCGAGGGCTCTGCCATTTATCGTTGAGCAACATCCACGCATGATGAATATTTCTTATTTCCAATAAGAATAATGACCATGAGAGTCAGCGCTTTTCTATTATCATAACAAAAATAACATAATAAGAAAATGAAAGTTCTGATCATAATACAGTAAATTTGATGGATGTATGTGATGTATGCATCTATTGTGCATGGTAAAAAAAAAAATAAAATTGCGCCATCATTTTACAGATAAGCTGTCATGTTTTTTTTGTGTCGACAGGTGGAGAAGTCCTCGGAGGGAGCCGGCCCTTTAAGAACAGTCAAGAGTGACGGGCAAGCAGACGAGAGAGCCTCAGCTACTGTCAACTCTGTGAGTCAACATGAACATAAATACACGATCTGATACTTCCAACAGTTCACTAAACAACTGAACAGTATTCACAAAATATAATGAAGTCTTGTCTGGTCTTAGGTAATTATTGTGAATACATTTGCAGAATAGAAACATTTGTATTAATGTGAGAAGGGTTAAGAGTAGAGGCTGCAGCTAAACATTATTTTCATTGAAAATGTAGCTGCCGATCATTTACTTGATGATCTAATTGATTTGTTTCGTATATAAATGCCGATCATAGTTCCCCACATCGTAATGTTTCTAAGAAATTTCTCCTTTTGAGACTAATCGATGAATCAATTTATCGTTTTATTTGCAAATACATGAATTACTTAACAGTGAAAAGCTCCCTCCTTGACAGAACTTTTTTTTGTTTCTTTCTCATGCCCCCCCCCCATCAGGCCAAAGGTTCTGGTTCTGGGTCTGGTCCGCTAGCGCCTCCTCCAAAGCCTGTGCGGCGAAGGTTGAAATCTGAAGACGAGCTTCGACCGGAGGACGAGCAACATGGTCCGCAGAAATCAAACGTCATAGCTGCCGTCCTGGCCACTCAGCCTTCCATCCCCAGGTAAAAAGACTTTGCAAGTTATTGTTTAATTTAGTTTTTGTATGTATTTTAATAAAATAACAAGCGTGTGTTTTCAGGTCAGTAGGAAAAGACAAAAAGGCCATTCAAGCTTCAATCAGAAGAAACAAGGAGACAAACACAGTGTTGGCGCGACTTAACAGTGAACTGCAGCAACAGCTGAAGGTACGTAGGATTAAGAAGTTTCCTTTCTGACTCTTTTTTCCCCCCTCTGGTGGAAAAAATAAGATCACTGATAACTTGTCATTTTCCAGGACCTGCTTGAAGAGAGGATATCCCTGGAAGTCCAGCTGGAGCAGCTCAGACCTTTCTCTCATCTTTAACCAACCTGGAGGAGTAAAACTCTGCTGTAGTGAAGCAAGGCCGTGCGCCCTCGGTGTGACACCCCCCCCCCCCTCTCCGTCCCTCCCTCCCTCCTCCTTCCACCATCACGCTGCAGGGTGCTCCGTTAAAACTCTTAGGCTCAATCACACCCTTAATTAATCAAAAAAACCGTAAGGACCTGAGAGCACAGTCGCACCACGGGGAGGAGGGGATGGGAGCGCGGGGGGGAGGAGACTATACAAACTGGCACTTTTTTAATTTTCTCTAAAGAGAGGTGAACGTGGGGACGACATCGGACTGATAAAAGGTCAGGAGCAGCGGACAAGAGGCTCGAACTGCTGGTGTCTGACTACTGTACTCTCTGAATGACTGAAGAAGAAAGTCGGAGAGTGTTTATCGTGTGTATTTGTGTTCCTGTTTATTGACTTGCTTGAATGTAGCACCACTGTGTTCTCTCTCGGGGTGAAGACTGCAGCACCAAACTCCTGTTAAAATCAGGCAGATTTAAAGAAGCAGTTTAGTACTTTTTGTGAAATACACTTTGATTTTTTTCATAGAGTTTGATGGGAAGATCCATATCAATCTCATGTTTGTTACGTATGTGATTAGCTCAGCTTAGCTTAGCATAAAGACTGGAAGCAGGGGGAAACGGCTGGCCTGGCTCCATCCAGAGTTCAAACCTCCAGCACCTCTAAAATTCACTCAACATGTTTGTTTTTGCTTCATCGACTAACTCTAGAGAGGAAACCGTATTTGTATTTCTTAAAAAGTAGAACTATTCCTTTAAATGTCTTCTCATTTATTCTACTTCCTTCAAAACTGGACAATTGTGGAAAACTCTAAAATCATTTGTGATTTTAAATATCCTCAAAGATGGTCTATCTTCTGAACATTTGCCTCCCGAACCTCACCATCGTCAAATAATCTGCTAACAAATAGATCACAGAGACACTTTAGAGGCTTTGAAAGCAGTCAGCAAGGAACCTAAAATGTACCTTTTTGTTTTTGACTGGGGTTTGGTGTGGCCGGTCTCTCCACTAAACATAACGGGCTACTTCTGGACAGGATTTAATGCGTGTGTTTTTGTGAGGCCTTTAAACGGCTAAATCATCATGGTGAAGGCTTTTTTTTTTTTTTTTTTTTTTTTTTTTTTTTTTTTTTTTTT